TGGAGTTCTCCAGGCAAGAATACTGGACTGGGTTGCCATGCCCTTCTCCAGGGGATCTTCTCAACCCAGGTATCAAACCCGTGTCTCTTCTGTCTCCTGCATTAGGCAGGCAGATTCTTTACCACTAGCACCACCTTCTCCCCTAACAATATTAAGCTGCTTTTTTCCCCTGCCCCTTCTTCCTAATTTTGACTATGATGTAAGGATGTAATGCTTTCAGTTATGGTAACCAAAAGACCACAGCAGGAGGAAAAAATAGCAAGGTGCCCAGGATGTTGACAACATTCTGCCCAACCAACATCAAGGTTTCTTGCTTCCAAATTTCATTACATAAATAAAAGTGTTTATGGTTCAAGCCTGTTAAGTTTTATGTTATTTTTAACTTAGTACATCCTAACTGAATAAAAGATTAATTTGCCCACAGCAAAGCTGGGACTCAAATCCATGTGTATCTGCCTCATGTTTATTTTTACTGAACCATTGTGACTTTAAACAAGACACATATCCTCTTTGAGTCTTAGTTTCATCATCTAAAATGGGGCTTATAATACTTTCTTGGTGAGAATGACAGCCAAATGAGATAACGCACATGAAAGCTCTTTACAAAGCACAGACTGTTATACAAGCACAAGCTGTTTATATGTAAAGTTGTTGCAAAAACACAGTATTGCAGTTACTTCATTTTTTTCTGAGGTTTATAGTAGTACTAAAATAAATTACAACCAAAGAGATGCTTAGACAAATATACATTTCATTATGGGCCACTTTTTGAGAGTTTGGTAACAAACAACAGTTTGACAGAAAGACCTGTTTTTCCCCTTAGAAAAGTTCAGGTTTGTAATATGGGTGACTTTAAAGGTAATGGCCATGTACATAACAGGGATACATCTAATACCTTGTTCTTATAAAAGTGCTGAGACTTCTGATCATGAAGATCAATGAGATATTTAAAATAGATTTTGTCAAGCCAAGTAGTTTACTCCATTGGGTCCATCATAATATCCGGCATGACCGACATCTTGGTGATCATTCCTTGGTCTTGGAGATCCCTTATAAACAATGTGGGTACCCCACTGTGGTATAGAATGTTATGTGTAGAGGAGTTAAAATTAGAATTAGTGCTTGTTTCTTGATATCCCTGGGCCTTAGTCTCTATTTGCAAAATAGGTAGAAAAGAGGCAGGCTAAATAATCACTACATTTTGTTTCAGTCAGGGGATCATGTCACTCTCTAACCTGTGAAGTGAAGTAATAGTTGCTCAGTTGTGTCCTACTCTTTGTGACTCTTGGACTGTAGTCTGCCAGGCTCCTTGTCCACAGAAGTCTCCAGGCAAGATTACTAGAGTGGGTTGCCATTCCCTTCTCCATGGGATCTTCCTGATCCAAGGATCAAACCTGGGCCTCCTGCATTGCCGGCAGATTACATACTGTCTGAGCTACCAGGGAAGCCCAAACCTAAAACTCTCCAAAGGATTCTTGGTGCACTTAAAATTTTTTTTTCTCATCATAAACTTGAAGAGTCCCCATGATTTGGCCAATATCTCTCTCTGAGACCTCATTATGTACTACTCTGTCTCTCACCCAAAAATCATCAGCTGTACTTACATTTTTCCTCTTCCTTGAACATTCCTAGTTCATTCTCACCTTGGAATTCTGCACTGGTTCTATCCTCTTCCCAGAAGACACCTCCTTAAAAAGGCATTCCCATACTACATGATGGAGCTAACCAGTCACTCTGTATAAGATCACTGTAATTTAATTCTTGTCATACTTCCATATCTATGTATGTATCTTGTTCACTGTTTCACTTATTGACCTATGACTGATTCATGTTGAGGTTTGACAGAAAACAGCAAAATTCTGTAAAGCAATTATCCTTCAATAAAAAACAAATCAATTTAGAAAAAAAAAGCTAAGATTTGTGAAGGCAAAAATATTTGTCTGTTTTGCCACATCCACAGTGCCTAAAACCATGCCTGCCACTTTGTAGGTGTTTAAACCATTCCCAAGAAAAAGAAATGCAAACAGACAAAATGATTGTTTGAGGAGACCTTATAAACACTGAGAAAGGAAGAGAAGCACAAAGCAAAGAAGAAAGAGAAAAATATACCCAACTGAATGCAGAGTTTCAGAGAATGGCAAGGAGAGATAAGAAAGACTTTTTAAGTGAACAATGCAAAGAAATAGAGAAAAAACAATAGAATTGGAAAGACTAGAGATCTCTTCAGGAAAATTAGAGATACCAAGGGAATATTTAATGCAAGTGTTAGTCACTCAGTCATGTCTGACTCTTTGCGACCCCATGGACTGTAGCCTACCAGGTTCTTCTGTCCATGAGATTCTCCAGGCAAGAATACTGGAGTGGGATGCCATTCCCTTCTCCAAAGATGGACACAATAAAGGACAGAAATGGTATGGACCTAAGAGCAGCAGAAGAGATTAAGAAGATGTGGCAAGAAAACACAGAACTATACAAAAAAGGTCTTAATTACCTGGATAACCACAATGGTGTGACCACTCACCTACAGCCAGACATCCTAGAGTGTGAAGACAAGTAGGCCTCAGGAAGCATTAGTAGAAACAAATCTAATGGAGGTGATGGAATTCCAGTGGAGCTATTTCAAATCCTGAAAGCTTATGCCATTAAAGTGCTGCACTCAATATGCCAGCAACTTGGGAAAACCCAGAACTGGCCACTGGACTGGAAAAGGTCAGTTTTCATTCCAATCACAAAGAAGGGCAATGTGAAATAATATTCAAACTACCACACAATTGCACATTGCTTTCACATGTTAGTATGGTAATACTCAAAATAATTCAAGCTAGGGCCCAACAGTACATCAACTGAGAACTTCCAAATGTACAAGATGGATTTAGAAAAGGCAGAGGAACCACAGACCAAATTGCCAACATCTGTTGGGTCATAGAATGAGCAAGGGAATCTAGAAAAACACCTACTTCTGCTTCACTGACTATACTAAAGCCTTTGACTGTGTGGATCACGACAAACTGTGGAAAATTCTTAGAGATGAGAGGACCACACCACCTTACCTGCCTCTTGAAAAACCTGTATGCAGACCAAAAAGCAACAGCTAGCACCAAACATGGAACAATGAACTGGTTCCAAATAGGGAAAGGACTATGTCAAGGCTGTATATTGTCATCCAGCTTATTTAACTTATATACAGTCAGTTCAGTTCACTCACTCATTCATCCAACTCTTTGCAACCTCATGGACTGCAGCATGTCAGGGTTCCCTGTCCATCACCAACTCCCGGAGCTTGCTCAAACTCATGTCCATTGAATCAGTGATGCCATCCAACCATCTCATCCTCTGTTGTCCCCTTCTCCTCCTGCCTTCAATCTTTCCAAGCATCACAGTCTTTGCCAATGAGTCAGTCCTTCCTATTAGGTGGCCAAAGTACATCATGTGTACAGATATACAGAGTACATCATGTGAAATGTTGGGCTGGATGAAGCTCAAGCTGGAATCAAGATTACCAAGAGAAATACCAATAACCTCAGATATGCAGATGACACAACCCTAATGGCAGAAAGCAGAGAGGAACTAAAGAGCCTCTTGATGAAGGTGAAAGAGGACAGTGAAAACACTGCCTTAAAACTCAACATTCAAAAAACTAAGATCATACCATCCAGTCCCATTACTTCATGTCAAATAGATGTGGAAACAATGAAAACAGTGACATACTTTATTTTCTTGGGTTCCAAAATAACTGTGGACAGTGGCTGCAGAAATTAAAAGACGTTTGCTCCTTGGAAGAAAAGCTATGAGAAACCTACCCAGCATATTAAAAGACAGAAACACCACTTTGCTGACTAGGTTCATACAGCCAAAGCTATGGTTTTTTTTCCCAGTAGTCATGCATGGATGTGAGAGTTGAACCATAAAGAAACCTGAGCACTGAAGACTTGATGCTTCTGTGCATCAATACTGTGGTATTGGCAAAGACTCGTGACAGTCCCTTGGACAGCAAGGAGATCAAACCAGTCATCCTTAAAGGGAACCAACCCTGAATATTCACTGGAAGGATTGATGCTGAAGCTCCAATACTTTGGCCAACTGATGCGAAGAGCCAACTCATTGCAAAAGACCCTGATACTGGGAAAGATTGAGGGTAGGAGGAGAATGGGGTGGCAGAGGATGAGATGTTTGGATGGCATCATTGACTCAATGGATATGAGTTTGAGCAAACTCAGGAGATAGTGAAGGATAGGGATAGGGAAGCCTGGTGTGCTGTAGTCCATGGGGTCACAAAGAGTAGGGCATGACCTAGCGACTGAATAACAATGAACAAAACCAGTAAGTGATTGCTGAATTAATAGACAACTGCATAAAATATATGAGTGTGAAAAAAATCTGCTGACTGCTCCCAAACTTTGTGTCCCCAACTGCAGTCTCAATTTAATACCACCCTCAGTTTCTGGGACCAACAGGGACCTGAAGCAGAAACAATTATGCAGCTCTACAAATCAGGGTTGAGTATATAATTCCTGCCTTGTGGGTTGTTTTGTTACCAACTTGGATTCTAGACCCTTCCTAGTTCCCCATCAATGAATCCTCTCTTGCAGTTTCCTCAGTGGCCCAGTTCCTCTATACAGAGGCCACATTTCAGCCTACTTAGTTCTCTCTTTTCCATTCCTAAGACTTGATAGCTGGCTCCTGGACCCCAGATGAGTGGCTCTTGCTTTAGTTGACATATGTCCCTAATACTTAACAGCCTTCCTAAGCCTTTGCATTATATATCTCCTCTTGAGATACTCCATTATCTCATGGAATCCTCCCCTGCCTCTAATGCTGCCAGGTTGAATTCCTAATGAAACTGTGACTGCTATTGTCATAATCTTTGGATTTCATATGTTTTATTTACTAAACCTATTAGCCACAGATGGGGTCGACTCTCCTAATCTTGGACTTTCTTGGTTGCCAGTCTGCTTTTCTAGAATGTAACAGAAATAAGCATCCTGACCAGGGGTACTTACCTTGGAGAGCTCTTGTCCAGGTCCACACAGTTGGCAAGTGACACACCGTCCCCATTGGTCCCAGTACTCATTTTCTTGGCAATCCATTGTGGGAAGGCTATGGGCACAGAATACAATTAGGGAACAAATGGAAAAGGATCTCAAGGCAAGTAGTGGCTTCCATCTCAGTTGGCTTATGGACCTCTTAGTCTAGCCTCTGGACCTGGGTTAGAAGGTTTGAGGAAGCCAACTCAAAACAGCTAATGCCTGTATAGCACTAACCATGTGCCAAGAAGTCTTAAATGGTTTACATGTAATTATTCAAGCTTTGAAACAACCATATCATGAACTATTATTAGCCTAATTTTGAATGTGTGAAAAATGAGGCATAAAGGCCAAGGAATTCACCAATGTTCATACAGTTAGTGGCTGTAACACTTGCTGAATTGGAAAGAAAATGATAAGACAAGGAGCTGGTATCTGTCTAGGAACTAGAGTATAGCCACAATCTCTCACATGTTACCAGCTATTAACAGTTTTGAAAGCACTTTCATACTCATTATATTTGATCCACACAAAATCCATGTTGTAAGCATTAGAAATTATTATCCTTTTGTGGATGAGAAAGCTGAAACATGCTTTTCTTTTGCCAAAACTGTCTCAGGTACCTTTGAGGACAACTAGCTGTCATTGCTTCTGTCCTTGGAAGTGTGGGAGGGGAGAATGATCCAGCATGAAGAAATGTCCTGGTACATTAAAGTGCAGAGAAAAGGAAACATTACTCAGATAACAGTTCTCAAAATACAAATGGTATATGGCACTGGCACTAGCATTAGTCAAAGAGTTGGGAGGTATGGGTTCTATCCTGGATACAGGTTTGCTTAGGACTAATAAGTTTTCTCAGGATATGGGAATTTCAGTGTTGAAACTAGGACAGTGTCACGTAAACTGGGATGGTTGGTCAACTTACTTGGCTCTTCTTTCAATCTATGATTCTGTATGAGTCACTTATTTTTTCTGGCTTCAGTTACTTAATCTGAAGAAAGGGGTCGGTATGTTCCTTACCTACCTTATATAGCCCTTGGAATGATTAAATGAACTAAGGTCCATCAAAGCATTCTGAAGGATTTGAGAAGTTATACAAAATAAGACAGAGTTGAGTATATAGAGAGGTAGTTTTCTACAAAGATGAATTTTAATGTCAGTAACTGATACATGAGGTTTGCATTTCTCAAAGAGAAAGGTGGGGTGAGATTCTTTTGTTCACTCCTTATCCTCATACCACAGTGAACTGCAGCTGGTTTCTCAAAGTATATAAAATCTTAAATGTGTTCTTCCAGTCAGAAGAGAGGAGAGTATGTGTGTATACTCTGTGCTAAATACCACCATTCCTCCCTTCAAAAGTCCCCAGTAGCAATGGAGTAAGTTTTCCTGTCTGGCATTCTTGCTTGAATGTACATTTACCCATGATCAACTGGGCCATTCTTTCCCATTTCTTCATTCAGAAGAAAGTAGGCTACAAAACCCATTTTTTACATAAGCTTAAGATGCTCCCGTCTATGTTGTTTTGATTATTGACCCATATTGTCAGCCTCAGTAGACACACTCCCCTCCCTACCCCACATCGTGTCATTAAGAACAAGAACTATCAGTGGTCTCACAGCTCTCATGACAAGAGAATTAAGTGTCATGGGCACAGGGCCAGAATACTCGTCTGGGCAACTCCCCTGTATCCTCTTCTTGCCCACAAAAACAGAAAATCATTGGCAGGAGCCAAAGAGCAGTCATGCCCTTAAGATAAACTCCCAATATAGGCATCTGAAATCTCCAAAGCAGCTGTTTCTGCCCTTTGGGTATCTGAGACAGTCTATTCTATTTGGTATCCAGAGCCCCTTCCATCTAATAAATGTCATGTGGCATGAATCTTTACATGTTCCTCTAACCTTGGCTTTGAGACCTGTGAGTAGGCAAGTTAGGTGTATGGCCAAATCCCCATATCAGGCTCCAGGGAATGAACATAGGCCTTTTTTCTCTCATTTTGTCAAACTGTTTATCCCAAGCAAGCAAATTAAACTGTTTTTCACAATAAGTTTAACCAATTACCTTTTTTTTTTTTAAAGAGAAGAAAGCCACAATGATTCTGATCTGTTCTGAAGAAGCCATGGCCATGAGTAAAATTGTCTAATAATGGTTAAATTATTACCAAGGGACAAACTCAGGCCTTATGTCAAGTTCTTCCCTGTGGTCAGCAGTGTCCTGTTGTAGACGTACTGCCTTTTTATTTTAAGAGAAGGTGAGAGACAATAATTAAGTTTTGAGAAAATCAGAGCTACTGTGAGGTGCCCTCTAACTGCAGCTAGACACTCTTCCAAGGTATCCCAGAAGATACATTTGAATTCTTCAAACTGCTGTATAAGTCAGCAACATAGATGGACCTATAAAATTTTGACATATGTATGGATGCATGCTAAGTCACTTCAGTCGTCACTGACTCTTTGCAACCCCATGGACTATAGCCCACCAGGCTCCTGTCTCTGGCATTCTCCAGACAAGAATACTGAAGTGGGTTGCCATGCCCTCCTTCAGGGGATCGTCACGAACAAGGAGTATAACCCACAGCTCCTGTTTCTCCTGAATTGCAGGCAGATTCTTTACCATTGAGCCACCAGGGAATATACTCATATAAATGCTTCCAGATAAAGATACAAAACCTTTTCATTACCTCAGCAGACTCTCGCATCCCCCTTCCCAGTCAATGCCATTCCCTTCTCTGAAGTAACTTCTATTCTGACTTCTATCACCATTATTAGTTTAACCTGTCCTAAATGTCATGTAAATTTGATTCATATGAGAGCCCTCTTTTGTTTCTGGTTTTCTTTGCTCAATACAACATCTGTGAGATTTACCCATGACATTGTGTATAGTAACATTTATTCCTTACCATTGCTGTGTAGTATCCCATTGTTTGGATATGCCACAATTTATTTTATGTGTGTTTTTTGTTGTTGTTGTTTTTTCTTTTCTTTTCTTTTTTTTTTTGGTTGATGGGCATTGGGCTGTTTCTAATTTGTGGCCATTTAGAATAAAGTTACCCTAATTTTTAAGATTTCTTTCCTTCTACTAACCCTGGGGTTCTTAATTTCTTTCTTCTCTAATTGCTTTAGGTGTAGAGTTGGGTTATTTATTTGACTTTTTTCTTGTTTCTTGAGGTAAGCCTGTATTGCTATGAACCCTCTCCTTAGCACTGCTTTTACAGTGTCCCATAGGTTTTGGGTTGTTGTGTTTTCATTTTCATTCCTTTCTATCCATATTTTGATTTCTGTTTTGATTTCTTCTGTGATTTGTTGGTTATTCAGCAGTGTGTTGTTCAGCCTCCATATGTTGGAATTTTTAATAGTTTTTCTCCTGTAATTGACATCTAATCTTACTGCATTGTGGTCAGAGAAGATGACTGGAATGATTTCAATTTTTTTGAATTTGCCAAGGCTAGATTTATGGCCCAGGATGTGATCAATCCTGGAGAAGGTTCCTTGTGCACTAGAGAAAAAGGTGAAATTCATTGTTTTGGGGTGAAATGTCCTATAGATATCAATTAAGTCTAACTGGTCCATTGTATCATTTAAAGTTTGTGTTTCCCTGTTAATTTTCTGTTTAGTTGATCTATCCATAGGTGTGAGTGGGGTATTAAAGTCTCCCACTATTATTGTGTTATTGTTAATTTCCCCTCTCATACTTGTTAGCGTTTGCCTTACATATTGTGGTGTTCCTATGTTGGGTGCATATATATTTATAATTGTTATATCTTCTTCTTGGATTGATCCTTTGATCATTATGTAGTGTCCATCTTTGTCTCTTTTCACAGCCTTTGTTTTAAAGTCTATTTTATCTGATATGAGTATTGCTACTCCTGCTTTCTTTTGGTCTCTATTTGCATGGAATATCTTTTTCCAGGCCTTCACTTTCAGTCTGTATGTGTCCCTTGTTTCAAGGTGGGTCTCTTGTAGACAACATATACAGGGGTCTTGTTTTTGTATCCATTCAGCCAGTCTTTGTCTTTTGGTTGGGGCATTCAACCCATTCACATTTAAGATAATTATTGATAAGTATGATCTCATTGCCATTTACTTTACTGTTTTGGGTTTGAGTTTATACATCCATTCTGTGTTTCCTGTCTAGAGAATCCTTTCGCATTTGTTGGAGAGTTGGTTTGGTGGTGCTGAATTCTCTCAGCTTTTGCTTGTCTGTAAAGCTTTTTATTTCTCCTTCATATTTGAATGAGATCCTTTCTGGGTACAGAAATCTGGGCTGTAGGTTATTTTCTTTCATCACTTTAAGTATGTCCTGCCATTCCCTTCTGGCCTGAAGAGTTTCTATTGAAAGATCAGCTGTTATCCTTATGGGAATCCCCTTGTGTGTTACTTGTTTTTCCCTTGCTGATTTTAATATTTGTTCCTTGTGTTTGATCTTTGTTAATTTGATTAATATGTGTCTTGGGGTGTTTCACCTTGGGTTTATCCTGTTTGGGACTCTCTGGGTTTCTTGGACTTGAGTGATTATTTCCTTCCCCATTTTAGGGAAGTTTTCAATTATTATCTCCTCAAGTATTTTCTCATGGTCTTTCTCCTTGTTTTCTTCTGGGACTCCTATGATTCGAATGTTGAGGCATTTTACAAATTCTTAGAAAAGTACAACTTGCCAAAACTGAGCCAGGAAGAAATGGAAAATCTTAACACACAAGATCCATCACAACTATGGAAATTGAAACTGTAATCAGAAATATTCTAGCAAACAAAAGCCCAGGACCAGATGGCTTCACAACTGAATTCTGCCAAAAATTTAGACAAGAGCTAACACCTATCCTATGCAAACTCTTCCAGAAAATTGCAGAAGAAGGTAAACTTCCAAACACATTCTATGAGGCCACCATCACCCGAATACCAAAACCTGACAAAGATGCCAGAAAAAAAGAAAACTACAGGCCAATATCACTGATGAACATAGACGCAAAAATCATTAACAAAATTCTAGCAAACAGAATCCAATAACATATTAAAAAGATCATACATCATGACCAAGTGGGCTTGATCCCAGGGATGCAAGAATTCTTCAATATCTGCA